CGATCCAGATAAGGATCGATGCTATAATTCCAGCGGGATCTACCGGAGGATCGCTCTCACCGTTGATCAGCTCTCGCGGTATCCTTTATAAGATAATCTGGCGATGCAGCGACGCGGCTCGCTATTTACGAACCTGTACAATCCTGTAAATCCTATCCTCGTGCTTCTCCTATCTACTATTCGTCACGAGACGTAGCACGCCTCTGTCTTAGATCACCGGTGAACTTTGAGTTCCTACGGGGGGGAGCACTTAACGAAAGCAAACGCTTTTCCAACGGGGCTCGATCGATCACGTTCGGTTTCTGATTCAGACGGGATAAGCTGACTTGATTCAGCATCTGTGAAAATCGCTCTTCACCGGGTTATATCGATAAATGACGGGTTTGGATCTTTACTTACGATATGGTCTTGAAAATACCATCTTCTGCCTTGTAATTTTGTTGACGGGGGAAATTGTGAGATTGAAACTTTTTAGTTGGTAGAACATTTTGTGTGAAGATATGTGAGACGACGTGAAGACGTACGAAGGGGAATGTACGAAGATATGTACGAATATATGAGCACATGAGGAAATAGACGTGAAAAGATGTTTACAGGTATAGAAACATGGAGAGAAGTGTATTGAGATGTATAAAGACACATGAAGGCATATGAAGACATATAAAGGCATGTAAAGACATGTAAAGGCATATAAAGACATATAAAGACATATAAGGATATAATAGACATATAAAGACATAATAGACATGTGAAGATATATAAAGACATGAAGATACCTAGAGACATGTGAGGATGTATCAAAACGTGCAAAGTCATATGAAGACTTATTCTATAACACATTGTCCAGAAGAAAAACAAATACGCAGCTAAATAACCAGACACCGTATTGCAAAAACATATTTCACATTTTTAAATTAAATACTAACATTTCTTCCAACTAGCTCCAAACCAACAAAGATAAAATTACACCCTTCTGCAAATTTCTCACCTAAAATCCCCAATACCCAAAAATGGTAAAAGAACCACATCTCTGACTGCACCAAATTTAAAATCTCAGTAACAGTCCAAATATATAAAACCCTGAATGGACCAATAAATGCAAATTTGAGCCATAATTCCGTATGCAGACGCCCTTTCTAGAATCGCATGAAAGCGCACAAGAGTGTACATAGTTACGAGAAAATCGTACAAGAGGTTGATTTATTCTGTCGTAAACGAATCGTAAAGAGAGGGAACCTTGATTCGAGCAATAACAATTCGCGTTTGGCTGACTCGTCATTGTGTTTTATCGGAAATACTCGTGGTTCGAGGGTCCATGAATATGCATGACTAGGAAGGTGCCCCCGCAAAAATTTATGGTCCTGACAGGCTGACGTTTCGAGGAGCGCAAACGAGGGCCCAACGATGGTCTGGATATAATCGGATCTGACAGTCCTCGAGGAACCACGTTACGCTTCGAAATGGCCCGAAAGGTGTTTTCAGAACGTCACGAAGGTGTTCCGAGTGGGACTCTTGTTCTTGTTGCCATCGAATGTGTTATCGAAAGGGGCGCCACGGGAATAGATAAACAGCTCTTGGGATCCTTTGAAAGTGTTTTGAGTTCTAGGATGGTGAGACTGCTCTTGTTTTTAATGAAAATAGAGGCGGAGAGTTATGTGGGCTTTGATAGGAGGAAATGACGGTGTTATGGTAGGGTGTGGAGGTAGAGGTGTGGCGGGTGGGAATGTGATGTTTGGGAATTTGGGGATTTGGGGATTTGGAATTTGGATTTTGAGATTTGGGAATTTATTGAGGTGGGAATTTTGGAATTTGGGGGAGAGGAAATTTGGGAAGGTGGGAATTGGAGGAGTGAGAATTTGGGGGTGTGAGAGTATGGGGGAGTGAGAATTTGGAGAAGACAAAATTTGGGAATGTGAGAATTTGGGGGAGTGAAAATTTGGGAAAAAGAAAATTTTGAAATGTGAGAATTTGGGAGAAAGAAAATTCGGGGGAGTGAAAATTTGGAAATATAGAAATTTAGGAATATGGGAATTAGGGGGAGTGGGAATTTGTATGAATGAGAATTTCCAAATTTAGAAATTGGGAAAGTGAAAATCTGAAAAATTGAAAAATTGAAAAAATTGAAGAATTGAAGAATTGAAGAATTGAAAAATTGAAAAATTGAAACCTTGAAACCTTGAAACCGTGAAACCCTAAAACCTTGAAACCTTGAAAATATAAAACTTCCTAAACTTCTAAAATAATCTCTACGAGCCTCCTATAAAAAAATGGTCGATCGCCTCACCGTGTGCACACAATTTAATAAAAATGTCCTATCGACCGTTTTCACAATACTACAAAAGGTTTCGTCGAAACAAAACCCCGACGAATAATAGTCAGATTTGCATAATCCGTTTGTCCTCGAGGAAACGAGAATGCCAAAGAGAAAACGATCAGCAGAGAAACGAGTATCTTTTGTGCTAAGGACGAGCAGCGATCGCGTCAGAAAGATTCAGAATCCTTGTGCGTTGTCTGACAACCGTGAATGACCAATGTGACAGGATAATAACTTGAAGTAGAAAAGAAGAAAAAGGACGGACCGAAGAAATTGAAGAAACTTAGAAACTCGTGACAACGTGGACGTTGTTGAAGGAAATAAAGAATACGTACGTTGGCACGGTAAGTAATTGGCAACGTTTAATTGCCTGAAATTAATTTACTCGGATCGCTATCGGGCTCATAATTACGGCCTCGGTTTCAAGCTCTAATTATAAAACAATTTATCGTGTCTCTGACGATGATGGAACTGGGGGAGGGGTTTCCAACGAATAAATCGCTTGTTGAGAAAATGTAATTTAAATAAAAAAATTAATAATTAATATTTCATGTGCTTTAGTTTCTTTTGGTTCTAGGGACTGTGCTTGAACATGGCGATATAACACGAATAATTATGCTATCTCTTATCTGATAGCTGTACAAGGCACGGTAATATAAATCGTAATTGTATCATTTGAGTGATCTAAAATAGAGGAATATAATGTATGGCGATATAACGTGTGCCGGTATGTTTGTATTAGTACAATGCGCGTGATTATTTAATCTGTTGGCAACGTGAAGGAACACAACACATTGGAATATAACACTTATGAGTATATCGTGTAGGAATTTTATTTATTAGAATACAATGTGTAGGAATACAGTGCGTTGCAGTATGACGCGTGAGAGTACAGTGCGTAGAAATATAACGCGTAGGACTTTAACGCGTAGAAATTTAACGCGTGAGAATACAACGCGTAGAAATTCCACGCGTAGGAACACAACGCATAGAAATTCCACGCGCAGGAACACAACGCGTAGGAATTCCACGCGTAGAAATTTCACGCATAGGAACACAACGCGTAGAAATTCCATGCGTAGAAATTCCACGCGTAGGAACACAACGCGTAGGAATTCCACGCGTAGGAATACAACGCGTAGAAATTCAACGCGTAGAAATACCACGCGTAGAAATTCCACGCGTAGGAATTTAACGCGTGGGAATTCAATGCGTGGAAATACAACGCGTAGAAATTCCACGCGTAGAAATTCCACGCGTAGAAATTCCACGCACAGGAACACAGCGCGTAGAAATTCCACGCGTAGAAATTCCACGCGCAGAAACACAACGCGTAGAAATTCCACGCGTAGGAACACAACGCGTAGAAATTCCACGCGTAGGAATTTAACGCGTGGGAATTCAACGCGTGGAAATACAACGCGTAGAAATTCCACGCGTAGAAATTCCACGCACAGAAATTCCACGCGCAGGAACACAACGCGTAGAAATTCCACGCGTAGAAATTCCACGCGCAGGAACACAACGCGTAGAAATTCCACGCGTAGGAACACAACGCATAGAAATTGCACGCATATGAATACAACGCGTAGAAATTTAACACGTCTCTAAACTGTCTACACACCGCGTATATAACTAGCATAATAAAACCCTCCCCGAGCAAAAATCCGCTCCCTCACGAATCGTCCTTCAGCACCCATATCCACCGCAACAAATTACGAACTAGTCGTGCTTCCATAAAAGCCGACTTTTCCCTTTTCATCGAATCGTTCGTCGAAAAGACGATGAAAAACGCGTCGAGTCTAAGCGATTACGAATAGCTTCACGTTCGCCAAGGAATTTCGCCCGCGGTTAGAAAAGAGACAGAGTTTGCGACCAGCGAACGGGAGAAAGGGAGAGGAGAAGAGAAAGTGTGGACACGAGGATCGAGAGGGATGGAGGGTCGATTCTAGCTTCGAGGGGTCATTATAGAACTCTTCTAACCGTCTCCACTAGCTGATGCCAGACTGTCTGGATTGACTGATGTCAGGTCATTCGAAGCTTCCTAGACCTCTTCTGGTTGCCTCACCAGCTACGTGGAAGTCGAGAACAGGCTCAACAGTTCTAAAGATATTGCCTGACGAATCTCGATACGCCTCGTTACGCGAACGACTTTCAAAAGCAATTAAAACTGGCACGCTCGAACTTATTTGCTCTGTCTGATACCTACGCTCGTTCCTTTTGGCTTTTAGTCTCCTGACGCAACTCACTTTTTTCTGCGTCATTCTTTATGGGGTCTTTGTTTGATGTTAAGCTCTGTTTGAAGAACGTTTGGCAATACAATGGAAATACATTTTTTATATGAAGCTGATTCAACGAGTTTAATTGCTTTGTGTCTGTTGTTGGTTTGTTTTGGTTATGAATAGGGTTGTAGATTGATTGCTTTTGATTGCGTAGGTTTATGAACTGGTTAGATTTTTAGTTATGGTTTGTTTTTACCATAGCTTTGTTCCTCTCATAAATGTTACCTCAAATGATTACAAATATTCCTAACAGAAGCACTAAAATTGCAATAAAATAAGATAGTAATTTACGTCTTTATGTACGCAATAATCTGACCGTCATAATCTCACTTTCTATCCGATTTCTCGTATTATGAATTTTACAGGAATAAGAGTTCACGTAGAAATAAAGTATTTCTACTTACCTGTGCGTACTCGGCGCAGATATCGATCGACGAGACGTAATTAACGACGTCCTCGATGGTCCACCGGTTAACCGCCTGTCCATCACCGCAGGGCATGTGACCACACAGGGATGGACATCTTACCGGGGGTGGTGTGGTGGGTCGAGGGGTTGGTTTAGGCTTCGGGGAAACACTTCCCGATCTCCTGGTTTCCGTCTTCTGTCTCTTTCGGGGTGCGAAGCCTCCTGGACTCGAGAGATCCAAGGGACTCGTCACTCCGGCGTCTCTTTTATTCGCACCTGGTCACAAAAATTATCCCTGTTACCAAAATGTTGCTTCGTACAGTTAATGTTAATTCAGGTATTTAACGCATGTTAAATTCAGATATTTTTTGCAGACATAAATGTTTGCAAATATTTCTACAAAGTTAAATATTTAAATTAAACGTACACCTACCAAAGGGGTTAGACTTCAGGATTACTTCAGTCTTTTGAATTACAATTTATTTTTAAATAATTTTTCAAAGTATTTTTATCAAGATTGACCTTTACAGAGATGAATAATTGCAGACACTAATTTATATTATATATTTTTTGTTATTTATTTATGTATTTTCTTCATGTCAGTTTTTGTGTTACGCTTGTCTTCGTATTACACCTGATGCAACATTATAGCCTATTTTATGTTACACCGGTCGATATACCACAATAATTTTTCACCTTCCAGGAAACCGCTGAACTCAATTTCTAACGATGCAATTAACAAGTAACGGTTGTTACGGATTTCGATGTTAAACTTATCCCGCACGTTATTTACGACTCAATTAATATTCATTTCGTTATGTTTCGAAAAATTCAAAGTTCACAGGAAGTGTAATAAACTTAGGAGACAAGATAATTTTATGCTAATCCAACGTTTCAACGACTACATTTTCTGACACAGGAGTTTTAATTGGAAAATACAAAATTGGTACCGAAATTGCATTTCTTTCTAAGAAAGTTTATATTACAGTATCTTAATTAGAAATTATACGCAGAAAGTTACCTTTCAGGTACGTTTCCAACTCCGCTGCATTCTGAGCCGCGTTTGCAGTCCTCACCATATGTAACAGTGCTTGCGTCGACGACATATCCAACATTGGTGGAAACACGGGGTTTCCGAATAGGCTCTCTTGTTTTTGTTCTTTCGGGTCCTTGTTTGAAAGGGGTGAGGTGGTGGGCACGGTAGGTGGTTGGGGTGCACCCAAGGGTGCCATTAAACCAACGAAAGGTGTCGCAGCAGTTTTGAACGCTGGAAACCTTGGATCTAAACCAGGAGGATAACCGTTTCTAGGTGAACTGAAGTAGCTGTAAATTGAAAACGAAATTGTCGTTATAGACACATAATAATTTTTGTAGTAAAAAGTCACATCTTCAAGAAGAATAATTGTTATGATAAAAGATCACATCTCCAAGAAGAATAATTTTTATGATAAGAAGTCACACCCTCAAGAAAAATAATTTTTCTGATAAGAAGTCACATCTTCAAGAAGAAGAATTTTTCTGATAAAAGATCACATCTCCAAGAAGAATAATTTTTATGATAAGAAGTCACATCTTCAAGAAGAAGAATTTTTATGATAAGAAATCACATCTTCAAGAAGAAGAATTTTTATGATAAAAAGTCACATCCTCAAGAATAATTTTTCTGATAAACATTCATATCTGTGGAAAGCAAAATTACTGGGTAATTTTAATACAATTTACAGAGTATTATTTTAACAAAGAAAGATGTAATGACGTACTAAGAATATCCTATTAGAGTAAAATTTCTCCAGGGTCTTAGCCAAACGCGACATTCAGATCCACTTGTCGCTGAAAGCCATGAAACCCGTCGCACACAGCGTGTCAGGTGCCAACACATCCTGCTTGTGCGTGGAAGGACACGGACATATTTATTCAGCGAATTGGAACGACGAACAAGGCACTTTCTCCTCGAAATGCCATGGATCGCAAGCACCGCGTGCGCTTCCAGCGTCCTCGTCACGCGGATCTATGCTCGGTAATTGATCCGACTATAATCGCGTTAACTGATCGCGAAATCCCTTCGTAAACGCGCGCGGCCAATTCATGAAATTGAGGAGTACAGACGAGTGCAAGGATCTGTCTTGTTAATTAAGAGCTGAAGTTGAAAGATTGACTACCCTTATTGTTGACAGTCTGTTTTGCAATGAAATTGAATGATATCTAACTACTCTTAATCTTGACAAACTGTGTTATAGTGAAAGTTAAGGCTAGCTTTTTAAAGATTAAGCTTTAGGTTAGCACTTTTTCTGGAAGATGAACCTGACTTATGTTACAATTTTTTGGACCAATGCTATTAATAATTACCAATATATTATACATAACATATATGTATGTATGACCCTCTCAGATGGTACCCCAGCACTCTACCCTTGTATAATAGTACTATACACTATACTACCCCCAACCTAACCTAACCTAACCACATCATTCAATTAAAAAATATATAAAATACAACACAGCACACAACTAGTCCTAAGCTGCAGCTACATCGATCACAATCGCAGCTCTTTGTTTTCAACCGAAGCAGCTTTCACGGTAACCGATCGCGTCCGGGCCCGACCGGCGATCGGTTAACGCGACTTTACTGTATACCCTTTAACTCGACCCGTGTGCCGGAAGCTACACGGTTGAAAGCCTTAGGCACTTGCAAAACGACAACCGGTTTCGCGTGACAATATTGCGCGAGCAATGCAGCCGACCACTCTTGTCCACTGTACGGGAATCAATATTTCGAGACATGTTACAAGACGATCAATATTTTCACTCGGTTGCCTGGTAGCAGCGTCCATGCTTCGAGGATCATACTCGATTGGAAATGTTCCCACGTATGCACACGGAACACGGAGATCGCATGAAGAATGTCAAGGCAAGCGTCACGAGCATCAAGGTTCTGTGCTCTTTTACTGATTATCTACGAGTTCTGACGAATATGCATCGCCTTATGATGTGGAGAGTGATTCTGATGTTTTATGAGGTTGTCAGGGTGCTTTGTTGATATTTTAATTTATTTGCAAGGAATGGGTGCTGTTTTGGGGGCACAGGATTTAGAAATTATGAAGTTTGGGGAAATTTAAATTTATGGAATTTGTGGATAACTTTTGAGGATTGTTTAGGACCCCTAACGTAAATGTGGAGATACTCACTCATTCGGATTGACGTTATTGTACTTGGCAGCGAGGCTTCTCATGATATCGCTGTAATTCCGTCCCATCATCTGCTCCATGTGTTTGAGGTGATGGGGTGGTGGTGGGCCCTCGGGTCCACCCAAAGGGGTAGCATTTGGCGGCGTTCCTGGATGGCTGGACGACGATGGCGTCACGCTCCTCGACGAAGTTGAATTATTGTCTGGGGTGAGTCGTTCAGTTTTAACCTACAACAAACACCAAATATCCCACATTTTAATCAATATTCATTTAATTTTACATATATATATTCCCGCAAATATTTCTCAAGTCAGTAAATCATATCGTGTTCGGTAATTATATAACATTTAATTGTCACATTTAATTGTCACATTTAATTGTCGCATTCAATGTTCACATTTAAGTATTGCACTTAAAACATGACAAATAGTCTTTCTGTCATAACGTTTACAAACTGAAATAATTCTATTTAAGGCACATTGTACCCCTAATTCTCGATTACAAAAAATCTGTAGAGTTTGTGGAGTTTCATAATAAAGCTAAAGGAAAATAAGAATAACGACAGAGCCATTAAATCTTGCATGAAAGGGAGAGGAAATGAAAGCAAGGAACACCCTCTGGTCATTGAAAATGTCACCGTGAGCCACTTCGGGGTGGAACAGAGCGAGCAAGCAGGAAATATCTACGAGCATTAATTCCCGGGAACAGATTGCATCCGAGATATGGTAATGAAGGCAACGCGTGGCGTAAGAGTTGACTCCTCTTCGAGAACGGTCGCGACGTGACACCAAGAAGAACGAGACTCGATTGGCGTAGAATAGGGTCCCTGAGGAGAGACCGAGCAGCCTCACCAAGAGGCCACGTAAATCTCTTTCTCGCCTCGAGACACCTCTTCCTGACAAGGGGCCGACTCTGGTCAACGTAGACACGATCCAACGTGTACACGTTTTCGAACGGGCCTCGTCCATTCGGTCTGTCAGCTTCTTGCGAAAGAAAAGCATCGATGGGGGCCTTAGCGCCTGATCAATTACCCGTTCGGTATAATACACTTCCTTCTAACCTTCTTCAATATTTCTGACGAATAGAGATCTTGTTTACTAGTAAACATTTGCTGGGGCATTTTAGTCAAACCTCTTCTGGTGAATTTAGAGCAAACGTAAGGTGACATAATGAGGTGAAGATGCTAAGATACTTAAAGGTACTTTGATATTTGTGGCAGCGAAGGGGGTAGAATAATAGGTTCTTGAATTATTGGGTTGGGAGTTCAAATCCAAATTTGTGGTAAACTAAATTATTTTTGTTTGTATTTTTTCTCTGTTTATTTGTCTTTTATCTATATATTTTTATATGCTCTCTATTTTTTAATAACGCTGCTTTTTGATTGGGCTGCTTATTTAATCTTATGCACTTGACTATCTCTTTTGATTCTGACATTTTAAATGTTCAAACAAAATCTCTTAATTATCAACCTCATCTCTAACAAATTATACATTTTATGAATTGAGCAACTTTAGAAATATGTAAATTCCCTTTCACATATTTAACAAAATTAAGTCTCTCCCTAAATATTCTCGACATGTCGTCCATTAGCCATCCACGACTTGAACTCCGTTCATCAGCAGAAAAAGGAGAATGACCCTGTTTGACTTCCAATTCCCTAAAAATTGACGAGTGTTTGATCACTCGATGAAAGAAAAGCTAGTGGTTTGAAGCGGTAGCGTGTACAGGTGAACACGAGTCCCGTTCAAAGTCATCCCGACCGGTGTTCTATGACAGCGATGTCAAGCAAAGCCGCAGTGTCATTCCACTGCTGACATCCGTATGGACGCTGGACGCTTCTGTAAACGTGGCAGTAGGGACCAGGAAAAAAAAACAAACAGCCCGATGGTTGGGATATATTATCGATGGTCATCGTTCGGAAAGAATGCCCGTCGAATGACACGTGGAAATCATGCTTGGCTACCATGTACACGTCTTTCGTTGTGGATGAAGATGTGCGGTGGAGAGATTCGATGTCAGATTGTTGCATGGTAAATGAGGGATTTTGATTCATTGGAAGGCTGACGCGATTCGATAATGAGATACAAATTTTGACAATGTTATACTAAATGTTGGGATAAAAATTACTTTTCTCGTTATAATGGAAGTAATACTGGAAGCAATATTATTTGGAAAAATATTATTTGGAGTGGTTGATGATTTTAGTGGTTTTTTATTTGGAATATAATTTGAGCGACTATACTGTGATGGCAAGGGCCTAGACTGTGAGTCACTCAGGTGCAGAACTAGTTTTGGACTCCATATAAAAATAGTTTGTTCTTCTCAAGAGATTAGATTGTTTTTGAACTTACTTGAGTAGTATCGAGACCATTCTGATTCTGCCGCCTCCTACCCCTAGGCGGCCTAGGGGTGGCCGCACCGGAAAGGTGGGCACCCTGGGGGCTTCCGCCCCTCGCGTCGACCGCTGTGTTCGCGGCCAGGGTGGCCCCGTCGTTGTTTTCCGTGTGTGTGCCTAAATCAGTCGCTTCTCCACGATCGCCGCCACGTGGTCCAGCACTTGCTGACACGTTTTCACCTGATACCTCACCTATTCAACAAAAAATATTCCCTTTGTCAATTTTCGAAACAGATCATTATAGCGTTACTACATTTGAGGTGGGTCATGTAGTAATTTATTGTCATTTGTTTTTATTTTAGATACCTAGATTTCTGGATGTGCAGACTCTTAGATTTCTAGGTTCTTAGGTTTCTAGATTCTTAGATACATGGATTCATAGATTTGCAGATTCATGGATTCATAGATTTGTAGATTCATGGATTCATAGATTTATAAAGTTGTAGATTCATGGATTCATAGTTTCATAGATTTATGGTTCTGATTTCCAGATACCTAAACTTATGTTTCCCTGTCTCTCTATTTCCCCATCCATCTCTCTATCACTATAGGTCTCCATATTTATAAGTACAGATCTTCATACCTCTCCACAACTCCACACCCCAGATTCCTTTATTCCTACCCTTCTGTATTGGTACATCCTCCAATCACATCCAGATATCCAGATATCGTACAGATGTCCCCATATCCCACTCTAAACTATGACGATCATCGTCGCATAGATCACAGTTAGTCTACCAGCAAGAACCTCGTCTTCAAGTTAACGCGACCTGCCCTTTAAAAGCCACGTTTCTCGTTGGCTTTGCTTTACCGCGAATAATCCGCTCGTATTTTGGCGCATCGTCTGCCCGATAAATCCGCGACTCGACTCATACGTTTTCCCTCGGCAAGAGCAGGCAACTCGAACCTCTAACAGCGGTTTCGTAACGAGGCGGTAGCCGCCTCGTAAAGCTTCCTTAACGTCGGCCCCGTGTAAACGGTGTCTTTCGACACCAGGAATTTCGATGAAATACAGTTAAGGGGGATAAACGATTACACGGTGGCTGAAAGCGGCGCTAGCCGCACACACGAAATTTACGCCTAATAAATGAACCTGTCCCGACGTTATTATCTCCCTGCTCGATCACAAGCTTGTATCAGCTTTGGATTATACATTGCCGGTCGTAAGCATTAGGACACTTACAATTTTCTACGTTCGAGATCGTATCTGCAGATTTTTGGTGATTCTTTTTGTATTAATTTTGATTCATTGATTCTTGATGTGTGATTAACCTTAAATCAGAACCTTAAAGTTGAACCTTACGTGTGAATCTTATATATGAACCTTGCATATGAATCTTACATATGACCCTTACATATGAATCTTACATATGAACCTCACATATGAATCTTACATATGAATCTTACATATGAATTTTACATATGAGTCTCACATATGAATCTTACATGTGAATCTTATATATGAATCTTACATATGTACCTTACATATGAACCTCACATATGAACCTCACATATGAATCTTACATATGAACCTTAATTATGAACCTTACATATGAATCTTACATATGAATTTTACATATGAGTCTTACATATGAACCTCACATATGAATCTTACATATGAGTCTCACATATGAATTTTACATATGAATCTTACATATGAGTCTCACATATGAATCTTACATATGAATCTTACATATGAATCTTACATATGAATCTTACGTATGAATCTTACATATGAGTCTCACATATGAATCTTACATATGAACCTTGAGTTTGAACATTAAATATTAACCTCAAACCTCAACCTTACATTTTAATCTCAAACTTTAACCTTAAATCTTAACCATATATTTTATCCTTACACCTGAACATTTCATCATAACCTTAAATCTTAACCTCAAACATCAACCTTCCATTTCAACGTAAAACTTTAACCTTAAATCATAACCATGCATTTTAACCTTAGTTCTGAACCTTACATCTGAACCTTACACCTTAACCTAACATCCTAACCTCAAACATAAACCTCCCCTTTCAACCTAAAACCTAAACCTCCACTTTCAACCTAAAACCTAAACCCTCAACCTAAAACCATCATCTCAAACCCTAAATCGCAACCATAAGCCTTAACCTCAATCTTCATCAAACCACCAAGAAGTAAAACCTACACCTGCTACAAAATTCAATTGCACTTTAATTGAGAACCCCAGTGAAAATTTGAACGATCGTGTTAAATACCCATCAGATACAGAAGAGTAAGAAGATGAACGAAAGGGAGGCTCGTAAGAGATGTAAAGAGAAAGAGATGGCGGAGGGTAGAAGATAGAGGTCAGTGGCCACATTAGCCACCAGGAGTATCCAATAAATTCTTGCCATCGTTAAATGGTCGGAATTTTATGGCGGTTGTAACTCGTGCACATGGCCGAATTTGTTGGACGATACGATCGACTGCGGCTTAAGATCGTTGCATGCGATGCGAGATCCTGGATATTGCCTTGATTTCACCATCGATGCACACGTGCGTTCATGGTAGCTTCGAGGCCGTTCTTGCTTGAATTTATTTAGTTAATGTGCCAACGAGGGTGAACGTTTAGGCACCTGGAAGATAAGATACAGTACAGATGTTCGAGGGGACAAGTTTTAAATTCCATCAATTTTTTTTGGGG